CTGGCACCACATAATGAAACTATCTTAGTGATTTTTTTTGCCTTTCTTTGGTGAAATAACTGCCAAGGAGTGCAAAAGGTTTACAATGCATTTCAGTCATATAGTTTGTGGCAGGAGCATCAAGCTTTTAGTCCTGTCTTTTTACTTTTGACCAAAATATTATTTCACGCAACTCACACTTACAGTGTGCATCCACTATAGAATTAATTACTCATACTACAACATACTCAATGGCCTTATACATTTACAGTCTTACACTCATGTCCATTCTCCTTTCAGGCCAGAGAATGGATGCCAAACCCTTATGAAGGTGAGTTCCATTACATCTCTCACGAAACCACACAGAGATAAGAATCCAAACAGTAATACCTTAGTAAGAACTTTATAGCAGGATAAACACACTAACTAATGGAAAAATCAACAGCCTAACAGTAGAAGACTGATAATCCTGTGAATGGCATGAGCAGTTATTGCCAAAATTATGTTAGATTACTCATTAGTGAAGTCATCTATCTATCTATCTATCTATCTATCTATCTATCTATCTATCTATCTATCTATCTATCTTCTTTAATGCATTTTCATCAATATATGTTTCCTTGGGACATGATTAAAAAAACATGTTAAAACAAGTTTTAACTAATAGGATTATATACAGTCAGGTCCGGAAGTATTTGGACAATGACAGAGTTTGTGATTGTGAGAGTTTTTGTGATTTTGCCTTTATACACCACCACAATGGATTTGAAATAAAACAGTCAAGATGTGATCGATGTGTAGACTTTCAGCTTTATTTTAAGATGTTCAACAAAAATATGGCATTTACCATTTAGGAATTACAGCCATTTTAAGCAAAGTACTTCCATTTTCAGGGGCTCAAAGGTATTTGGACAATTGACTGACAAGAAATTAATTGACCAGTTGTGGTCCATTCCCCCATTACTTCAAGACAAATGAAGCAAATAAAAGGTCTGGAGTTGATATCAGGTATTGAGTTGGCATTTGGCAGCTGTTCCACTGGAGCTAAGTCCAAGGAGATCTCAGTGCAAGTGAAGGAGGCCATCATTAGGCTGAAAAAACAACATAAATCTATAAGAGAGATAGCAAAAACCTTAGGTGTGGCCAAATCAACATTGGGTACATTCTTAAAAAGAAAGAAAGCACTGGTGAGCTCAACAACATCGAAAGGCCTGGAAGACCATGGAAGACAACTAAAGTGGATGATCGCAGAATCCTTTCCTTGGTGAAGAAAAACCCCTTCACAACATCAACAGAAGTCAAGAATACTCTGGAGAAGGTAGGCGTATCATTGTCAAAATCTACAATCGAGAGACGCCTTCATGAATGTAAATACAGAGGGTTTACAACAAGGTGCAAACTACTGGTAACATTCAAGAACAGGAAAGCCAGATTAGACTTTGCCAGAAAACATCTAAAAAAAGCCTCCCACGTTCTGGAATAAGATTCTTTGAACTGATGAAACCAAGATTAACTTGTACCAGAATGATGGGAAGAGAAAAGCATGGTGAAAGAAAGGAACAGCTCATGATCCAAAGTATACCACATCATGTGTCAAACATGGTGGAGGCAGTGTTATGGCATGGGCATGTATGGCTGCCAATGGAACGGGCTCACTGGTGTTTATTGATGATGTGACTGCTGACAGAAGTAGCAAGATGAATTCTGAGGTGTATGGGGCTATACTCTCTGCTCACATTCAGCCAAATGCTACAAAACTGATAGGATGCTGCTTCACAGTGCAGGTGGATAATGACCCTAAACATACTGCGAAAGCAACTCAAGACTTTTTGAAGGCAAAGAAATGGAATATTGGAATACAATAGAGCATGCTTTTCACTTACTGAAGACAAGACTGAAGGCAGAAAGACCCACAAACCAGCAGCAACTGAAGGTGGCTGCAGTGAAGGCCTGGCAAAGCATCTCCAGGGAGGAAACTCAGAATTAGAGTTTTGAGAACATGGGCTCCAGACTTCAGGCAGTCATTGACTGCAAAGGATTTTCATCCAAGTATTAAAGTTATATATTTACAATTATGTCACTTTGTCCAAATACCTTTGAGCCCCTGAAAATGGAGGTACTTTGCTGAAATTGGCTGTAATTCCTAAATAGTAAATGCCATATTTTTGTGGAACCTCTTAAAATAAAGCTGAAAGTCTACACTTCGATCACATCTTGATTGTTTTATTTCAAATTCATTATGGTGGTGTATAAAGGCAAAATCACAAAAACTCTGTCATTGTCCAAATACTTCTGGACCTGACTGTGTGTGTGTATATATATATATATATATATATATATATATATATATATATATATATATATATAAAATGAGGGGCCAAACAGGAAATAATCATATGAAATCTGAATATAAAGTTATAACTCTGAATATATGGTTATAAAATCATGAATATATAAATGTAAATCCTGAATATATAGTTGCCTCCGATTCCGATAAACAATACTGATAAACAAGCTCTTAATTTTTAATCAGTTTTTGTCTTAATAAAATCATTATTCGTCAACAGATTTTTGACAATTTCCCTAGCCCTCTCAGTCATGCTGAATTCTGCAGAAAAGCTACATTGTATTAACACTGTTAATGGACTGTAAGGATCCTTTGGCACTATGTC